CCAATCCCCACGGGCCTCACCCAACCTAATCACGACCAATGGCACCACACAACCCTCCATCAGACCACGGCCTCTGTTGTGGTGGCGGTGGATACTTGGCTTAGGCCCCTCTTGCCCACGCGCACCACCACCCATCCCCTCCCTCACCTCGATGCATTTATCAGCGGTGCCGCCAAACAAACCCCCAATCTTGCAACGGTGGTTGCTTCAATCCGCAAAACCATCGATGAAGCTCGACCAGATTTTCCGGCCATGGACTGGCCTGCCTTTCAGGCGACCACCACCCAGGCTCTCAACGCACTCGACCAGGCACTGGAGGCGCCCGAAGCGTTGAACAACCGCTTGGGTCAATTGGACCCCAACACTGACAACCTAGAAACAGTGCTGCAAGAGCTGCATGATGTCACTGCTGGGTTTGAGCTGCAGCCGGTGCTTCTGGAGCTTCAGACCGTGCTGGCAGCATGCCCAGCTCCACCCACCACGCCAGTGAACGCGCCCAAGACACCACCTGCCGACCTAGCGGCGGCCCTGAGCAAAGTCATCGTTCTGAGCGGCGTGGAACCCAAGCGTCAGGAGCTGCTCACCAGCGCCAACAGCAACCTCAAGCGCCTCGTGCTGGCCTTGATTGATGCCCTGGGCGCCGTGGCAAAAGCGGGAACCACCGACACAATTCATCGCGTGGACACACTAGAGCAATGTGCGCAATGCGTGGATGTAAGTGCACCGCCGCCAGCCGAGGCATTGCCCGAGGCCTGGGAGGAGCTGTGCCAAGCCCACGAAAAGCTGAGCTTGCCCGAGCAGAACGGCCTGGAGCAGCTGATAACATGGAGAGTCGAGCACGACTATGAGCATCAAGATTGGTATCTGGCGTTTGCGCTTCACGAGGCGCAAGCCCTGGTGCAGCAGTTGCAAGACATGATCGACTGGCAAGCCACGACGCTGTCCGTGCTGACTTCGTGCGAAGAGTATGCAAGCGGCATCACGCAGAGCAGCGCAGATCAAGTAGTATCCATTCATGAGGAGGTGGCCAAGCTGCAGAAGAACATCCAGACAACCATGGCATTCTTGCCCTTGGCTCCAGATGAGATGCGAGCTGGCCTCGAGGCTCGATTGCAAACTATGAAGGAGCGCTTGGTCATTTTGCAGCAACAACTATCGGATCAAACACAGGTAGACCAGGTGGCGGCACTGGCAGAGCTGCTACACCAACACTTTCCAGCTCTTCTGGTCTTTTTGCACCCTGACCAGAGCGCGCTGGGAGCGCGGCTCCGCACAGTGCTTGGCCCCGACCTTCCAGCCAGTCTGATCTTGGAGGCCATGACCGAAGTAGACCAGGGTTTGACGCTCTCCAGCCTGGGCCAAGTGTCTCTCCAATACAACCAGAATCACAAGGTGTACAAAGCCCGCGCAGCACTGCCGAATCTTCCTGAGCAAGATTTGGCTGTCAAAGAGTATGCACTTGCTGAGCAACACAAGCAGGATCAGTGCCGGACATTTCTCCGCGAACTGCGCGCCATGCGCCAGCTTGAGCACCCACACATCATCCCAGTCCTTGGCGCGCTCGTGGACGTACACAGTGGGCACCCAAGTGCCTATTTGGTGCAGCCATGGTGTGCACAGGGGGATCTGCAGCAGTGGCTCAGCAAGGCACGCCACATGGCCACCTCGACCGTGATTTCGAATCTGATGAATCAGCTGCGCACGGCCCTGGCGTTTATGCATAGCAAGGGCTTGGTGCATCGGGATGTCAAGCTGAGCAACATCATGTTGGACGGTGCAGAGGACCAGCCTGTTGTGCGGCTCGGTGATTTCGACATTGCCAAGGCCGCCGCTGAAGCCACCATGCTACCATCTACGGCCACCGCATCGTCGGGCACGGCGGGCTATGTGGCACCCGAAGTGCTTTTTGGCCGGGGCCGAGTGGGGGCGCGTCCAGCACAAGATGCCTTTTCCTTTGGCTGCGTGCTCTACAACACCTACATGTACCCACAAACGGTGCCACCTGCTCAGTCACGAGCCGATGAGGTTGTGGGTCATTGCAGATGGAATTTCCAAGCGGGAGATGGTGCCTTTAGCTTTCCTCATTTGGCGGCCGAGGTCAGTCAATTATTATTTTTTTCTCTATGATTTTAAGACGCCCTGGTTGTCGTCGTCGTCGTCGTTGTCGTTGAAGTTGCTCATACCTGTGTTTCTGTGCAGATGTGCGACATAGTGGGCGATCTGTACAAGGAAACGCGAGCCTTGCTGGCAGCAGATCCAAAGCAACGGCCAAGCCTTTTCAGCGCCGGGCAAATCGCAGAACGACCTGTCACGACCCAAGTTGTTGGGCCAGCCATTGATGTCTTGCGCGATGCGCCCGAGCTCATTTCAGAGGTGCGTCTCTTGTTAACTTTTTGGTTCTTCCGCGGATCGTCTGATTTGAATCTACTGGGTGGGTAGGTGGGTGAGCTACTGCAGCAGCTGAACACCGATGGGCGGGGACCAGCGAATATTGCAGTGCAACGGGTGGAGCGCGTGCACAACCCCGTGCTGTGGGAGCGCTACAGCGTCAAGCGACGCGAAATGTTGCATCGCATCAAAAGTCAGGAGCACTATGATCAACTCCAAACGTCCACATTAAATGCACCCTCGGGCTCTCCAGCTCTGCTTTGCGATGCATCCTGTCAAGAGCGTCTGTTGCTCCACGGCATCGCCCCTGACACAATGTTGCGCGACAAGATTGTGCGCCTGGGCCTTGACTATCGCTTTGCCGGCAGCAGCGCTGGCCACCGATTCGGTCTTGGTGTTTACTTGGCCGACCATCCCGGCAAGGTATGGCAGCACTGGCTTTCAATTTCGCCTGTTTATTTGAACGCTGGAGTGCTGACCGCAATGTGCTTACATGGTTTCAGAGTCACCGGTACAGCAATACTGGATCCAACGGCGAACGAATGCTTGTCATCGCGCGAGCCCTGCTGGGTCATGCCTTTGTCCATCCATCACCTCCTTCTGGGGCGCTGGCGCCACCGCTCCTGCCCGCTGCGCCCAACAACGAGCGGTGCGTCGGACAAAATCGCCTGCCCATTGCATGTTGCCTTCAGCAGGGTACCTCTGTCCACCACCTGATCTGACTTGTTGCATTTGCCATTGAATTCTCTTTAGGTATGACTCGGTCGTCGCGACACCCTCTGGGGAATTCCACGAGGTGGTGGTGTTTAAGAATGCCCAAATGTATCCCGAGCTGGTTGTATACTACACGGCCAATTAGGATGAGCTGGACTAGTCGGTGGTCGTTCGCGCCCGATCCGCCGCTTTCCCACGCATATGGACACCCCGTTGCTTTTGCACACAATCAGCGTCATCTACCATGGGTCTTCCCACAGGAGCCCCTATGGAGCTGGTGCGACTTCATTTCCTGACTAACATACGCACCGAGATGTACTGAGCCGTGTCCTCCCTCTTGGGGGCACATGCGTCGACCCCGCGAGCTTTGCAATGTCTTGGCAGACAGTCTTGTCTGATATGCTTGTGTTCACCGTTGTTCGTTGTTGTTTGTTTGTTTGTTTGTTGTAACACCTCTTGGTCTGGTCACTGTGAATGCTTGCCGACCGCAGCTGGCTCAATTGACCTCACGACACCTCCAAATTTCTTGTTTCGTCCCGATGGACGTCTCTCAAACCTCTTTTAAAACGCCTCCTCAACACGACCCGCTTCCTTCAAACCCAACACTGGCCTTTGACATGCTGTGGAGCCTGACAGCTGGCTGTCCCTGAATGAACGGCATACCTTTCCATACATGGATCGGGAGATCAGTATGCCAATCTTCATGTTTTTGCTGCTGGGCAAGCCTCTGGAGCACAGGCTGAGCAGCTGGCTGGAGAAGCGGGGCAGGCTGGCCACGTCCGACGACTATGCTGCATTTCGTCGAAAAACGACCACGTACCTGTATCGGCCAACGCTTCAGGTATTGAAGGACGATTTGAGCTGAGACAGTAAAGCGGTTCAATTGCACTTCTCTCACAGGAGAGAACGATAGAAAACAGAAAGGGAAATATCCAAAAGAAAATGCCACTCACGGTCAGCGGGACCGTACTTATAATCTGGTGGCTAAACACACCCAGAGTGTACGAGAGGGTTCCTCGACGGGCGGCGGCAGCTGCACATCGTCGAGTACATTTATGCAATCCTTCCAGAGGGATCTGGCAGGTGGTCGATGCTTGCACTCCAATACTCCCCCTCAAGCAGAGAAGCATAACTTACGCATATGGCGTTCATGAGCATCGCGGGGTAACGGCTTGGTCAGAACATCAGCCGTCATGTCGTCGGTCGGACAATAAACAATGTCAACCTGGTTACGCTCGTACATCTCGCGCAGAGCATAAAACTTGATCAGCGTGTGGTGTTGTCCGCGCTGGGCATTGCCATTGATCACGTTGGCAATAGCAGGCTGGTTGTCACAGTAGACAAGTGGCTTGAGTTCAGGCAAAATGAGCAACTCGTTGATCAGTTCACGCAGCACAACACCCTTGGCAGCACCACTGTGTGCAGCCATGTACTCAGCCTCTGCAGTCGAAGTCGCAGTCGTGGTCTGGCGCTTCGAACGCCAGTAAATGGGGCCATTGCACAGAAAAATGGCACAACCTTCACGAGACTTCTTGTCATGCTCTTGAGCAAAGCTTGCATCGGTGTAGACTGCAAGTTGCAGCTCCTGTGTATCCTCGAAGCGAATACCCAAATCCTTGGTACCCTTGAGGTAGCGCAGCAGGCGCTTGGCTGCCTGCCAATGAGTCTCATCAAAACACTGGTTGTGAGCACTCAACAGACTCACAGTTGCAGCAATGTCAGGGCGTGTGTGAGTTGCAAGATAATTCAGCTTGCCCATCAGTTGGCGATAAGGAAAGTCGCCCTCAGTCTTG